CGTAATTAATGGCCGTGCGAAGAAAATGGTATCGAGTGTCATTTCCTCGGACGGCCGAACGAAGAACAACAAGGACCCACAGTCAAGGCCTGAATTTTTCGGCAGTGAAACGTCGACTTCCGAACGAACGCGTCGAATAAACGATTATCCGCGAACGAGTCTCAGTGATCTTTCTTAAATATCCACAAGTGATTCGGATTATCAGTGATTAATTAAGTGATCAGTGTTTAGTGACAGTGCAGTGAAAGATCAGCTGTACGTTGTACAAGGTCAGTGCCCTTCGACATCATGAATTTCAGCCAGCAAATGCATCCTCAACTAAATGGGTGAGTTTCTTACTGATAATATTTTTCATATCTCTCTAATAAACAAATCCTTTACGTCCCTTATTTATTATTAAATCAGCTTTGCAAATCATTCGTTAATCTTCACTGTACACCTTGCATAAAAATTTCATATGGTACACACGAGGTGTCATGCACACCAGAAAATTAAAACAGCTGTCACGGTTAAACTTCATATTATTTCGGGTCCGAAAAATTAGTAAATATTCTTCAGACGTTCTAAAGTAAAGGTGAACAGCGTTTTTCTTAAAAATATCACTGTTATGTAGTAAAAAAAATCCGGAAAGTTCTCGCCTTGTGACTTGTTCAATACTTCGAACGCGGCTCGAGTCCGTCCCGACCTTCTGTCAAAGCCTCGTGCTGCGGACTCTCTCGCGGACCCTCTCTCTCGCACCGTCACCTCTCATTGGCCAGTGTTTTTCGTTAATAACTCGTAAACAAAGCCGCGGATTGCATTTTCGCAAAGGAAAAAGTTACTTCAAATGACCTCAGCTACCCCTCATTTTCGGCTGTTAAAATAATTGTGGGACACCCTGTATAATCGTTATATAACTAATTAATTATTATATAGTTGTTATATAATTAATTAATTATTAGATAATTATTATGTAATTAATTATCGTTTAGGGTCAGTGAAACGAGTGAATAATTCATCCTCTTTTAACTGAAGTCCACAGCTTGGTCACGTGACACCGAAGGTACCCCGAAATTTAAAAAGTCGAGTTCTGTTTGCGGAGTCTTTTAATTGGACCGGCGAGAGTCCGGTGGTTCCAACCTTCCAGTCTTTGGGAAGTTTCGACCGGTCACGAAGTTGTGGACGGTGCTCGATGGTAGAGTCGAGAAGACGTGGTTTATTTCCACGTTCCACGAGCTTAATACGTTCTTCGCCGCATAATCGATAGAGTGGACAGACAGACCCGCGTAACCGTGCTTCAACGAAGTATCGTTTCAGGCCGAGGCACCCGTCAATTCCGCAATCGAATATTGCAAAAGAAACCCACCTACCGCCGAAGATGACATCGAATTGTTTGTAATTCTCTTCTCCATCGCGCGCGCGTGGCACGTGAACGATGCTCGACATTGATAGCGGCGGAGTTCGTTGGCGTACGTTTCTCTACGGAACACTAAAAATACGCAAGCTTGAAATCATGGCGTGGCTGCAACGTTAACGTCGTTACTATGCGGATAATATAATTACGTCTAGCGAATATTCTGCGGCGCTCGTGTCATATATTTATAGGTTTTGTAAAAACATTATAAATATATTTGTTTATTAAATGAAAATGGAAGTAGTAATAGGATGAATAAAACTGATTAAAAAGAAAGATCTGCTCTTGAAGCTACTGTTAGTGACAACTTAGAATGGCTTAGGATAACTTGAGAAGGTCTGGAGGAATTACACTTGACGCGTGTCTCCGTCGCACTGCGCTCCGTATCCCCCACTCCGCTCTGCGAGAGTCCCAGCGCATCACGTGAGCTGCCCCCATCCCGCTCTGCAGGAGTCCCGGCGCGTCACGTGACTACTCCCACTCCGCTCTGAGAGAGGCCCAGCGCGTCGCGCGGCTGCCCCCACTCCGCTCTGCGGGAGTCCCAGCGCGTCGCGCGACTACCCCCACTCCGCTCTGCGGGAGTCCCGGCGCGTTACGCGATTGCCTCCACTCCGCTCTGCGGGAGTCCCAGCGCGTCGCGCGACTGCCCGCACTCCGCTCGTCGAAAGTCCCAGCGCGTCACGTGAGCTACCTCCACTCCGTTCTACGAGAGATCCAGCGCGTCACCTGACCTACCAGTTGAAATCTAGCTTGTTCTTCCGAATAGTTCTTAAAACGACGCTCAACGTCATTTAGACATTGTTTAAAAAGTATGTTTGCAATGTCTTTTGCTGCTTGGTGTAAATTTTAACACGAAACCAGAATCAGGAGTCTGCGTATCTGGGAAGGAATATCATTAGAAGATGTGACACGGAATTTTTCTCGGTGTGTGTGCCAGTGCGTGTTGCACGGTATAATCATCTGGGAGATTAGGGTTATCGTGGGGCAAATCTAGAATGCTTGAACATGTGCCGGTGAACGAGCCTCGTTTTTCTTTTAGGCATTCGCTGGGATATTTTTAACGTTCGCGGCCGCCACGATGATCACAATCGAAATGAATTTTCCTCTCATTAGCATCGCGACCTGAAAGTTTCGCATTTATCGCGCAATGACGCAACATGCAGAATCGACTGCTTCGTATAATATAGAAAGTGTGGAATTTTATGCGAATTAAAGTTTGTCGGCGTTCGTTGCAAGATACAGAAGTCATATTCACAATCATTTATTTTCTTAATAAGTTGAATGATCATAAATCATTTGAATAATTTGAATAATTCGAATAATTCGAATAATCTGTATAATTCGAATAATTTGAATAATATGAATAATTTGAATAATCTGAATAATTCGAATAATCTGAATAATTTGAATAATCTGAATAATTCGAATAATCTGAATAATTCGAATAATCTGAATAATTCGAATGATTTGAATAATTCGACTAATTATTTAAAACCTACATAAAAAAACCGCCGACAACAATATCCTTTGATAGAAAATGTTCCAGTTTCCCCGCAGGTTGGAAGTAATCGTTATCGCAATTGTCTTTGTAAATTACGCGTTACTGTAACACGGTTGGGCGAGTTTCAATCCCGGCGCTTTTGATACTAGAACGTCATATATTCCTTTTAAATTAATCGAATTTATTGTAGAATAATGTAGCAGGAACGCGGCACCGGATTGCAATACGTCGATGAAACAAAGCGAAAGGATGAAACAACGTCGCGATACGACAATTTTTTTGCAACTCGTTAAAATATTCCGCGGATCTTGCAAACGAGCTGGTGCTGCGAGGGCGGGAGGGAGTGCAGTGAGGGGGGGGGGGTGGCGACGTGATGCGTGGCACAGTCGTGCCGCACAATGGAGGCCGAAAACGAGGTTCTGCAGTCTTGAATACCGGTCGACCGAAGATGCAAATGAATTCGAATCAGAATTCTGTATTGTCCCCGGCCGACGCGACGCTTCGCGAGCCTATCGATTTACGATCAAATCAGAACCGCTTCGACGCTTGCCCACAATTGAAACTAAAGACTGACGAATTCGATTAACCTTTGCCTCCTCGAATTCTTATATCTGTCGCGGCGTCCTATTTCTTTTCGATCTCTTCGTTAAACGAATATTCGGTTTTCATTTATTTTATCGCGTGGCGCTTTTTTGCTTTGATAGTAAAATAATTGTTCAATTGAATAGCTGGGTCAAGTAATATAAGTCGAGTGAGATGAATCAAGTTCAATACGTAGAGTAAGATAAGTCGAATAAGATAAGTCCAGTAATATAAGTCATGTAGGATAAGTCAAGTAAGAAAAGTCAAATAAGATAAGTCCAGTAAGATGAGTCCAGTAAGGTAAATCAAACAAGACAAGTCAAGTATGATAAATCAAGTAAGATAAGTCCAGCAAGATAAGTCCAGTAACATAAATTAAGCAAGACAAGTCAAGTATGATAAATCAAGTAAGATAAGTCGAATAAAATAAGTGAAATAAGACAAGTCAAGTAAGATCAGCAAAGTATAATAGAATAAGTCAAGTAAAATAAATCGAATAAAATATAAATCAAGGAAAATAAGTCGAATAAAAGGAGTCAATTAAGTTCAATCAAGTATAATGGATCAAGTAAAATAATAAATCGCCTATTCTTTCGAAATTGCACCGTGGAACGGGTCAATCATTCGTGTTAGGTTCAGCCACACTTTCACGAACCCTTGAAACATTCATTGCCAGCTGTTGCGTTCATGAGAACGCTATACCTACCACTGATGGTTGTCAGTCATCGAGTCAACTCACGACCAAGTTCGCCGTTCATATTAGAACGATTAGAGACTGAATCGTGTCACCCACGAGTCGATAAATTCCCACTGCCCGCGTTTCTACTTAATTCTTCTAATTTTACTGGCAGGAAAGTATGCGTTCCAAGAAGTCCTGCTGCCGCGAGAAATTACGTTCGCCAGAGACGGAAATAACGCATAGTTGGAACAAGTCTATGTTCGCTTCCCGGGAAAACTGTGTTAAATGCACTTCTGAAAGAGTGACCAATTTGTTTACAAAGCGCGTTGCAAGTGGCATATCGATTTATTCAGCACTGTAGTCCAGGACAGTTTAAATTAATTAAGATACGAATAAAATTCTTGCTTTAATCGTACATATTCTCTCTTATATATAGGGTGTCCCAAATTCGACTGAAAATCGGGAAATAAGAGATTTCCGAGGTCATTCGAAGCAACTTTTTCCTTAGCGAAAATGTTCTACGAGGTTTCGTTTACGAATTATTAACGAAAAACGCGGGCCAATCGGAGAGCGAGGGCGGAGTGAGTACGAGCGGGGGCGTGGCGCCGCACGTTTATCGCTGATAATTCGCAAACGAAGCCTTGTAGAGCATTTTTGCAAAGGAAAAAGTTGCTTCAAATGACCTCGAGACCCCATTTCCGGGTTGCGAGACATTTTTGGGACACCCTGCATAGGCGTAGGAATAGCGCAGGGACGGCGCGAGCAGTCTATGCACCAGGACCTCGTGGGTGCAGGACCCTAACAAAATTCCAATTAATTAATCCTGATCTTCTCTTCTGCTCCAGATTCCTCAGCATCGGCGGGAAGCCAGTGGAGACGATCGAGCGTGCTCGCGACGGCACAGCGTGCGCGTACAGCTCGTACCACAGCACTAAAGGAATACCAGCGAGCGCGAGAGGCCACCGGGAGGAATTGTCGATCACGATGAGAGTGCTGGGCTCCGGCTACTTGTCGACCTGCCTGCAGATCAAGTATTACCGGCAGGACGACCAGAGCCATTGCGAATGGGGCGCGATGTTGCACTGCATCGAGCTGGACTGCTCAAGCGTGGAGGGCAGATTGGTGACGGTCGACCGGGAGACGTACAGGAAGCTCGGCATAGAGTCCTAGCAGTCGGTCGGCGTCAATGTGATCAAGGCGATCACATAAGCGGGGCCGGCCGGAACGTTTTGTGTTAACTTCTAAGAGCAACGTTGTTTTTTCGTAACTCTCGATTGGCTGACGTGGAATGCTTGCCGACCAATCGGAAGTTGGATCGGACGCGAGCTCTCCCATGGTTAGGGGGATCGATACCGCTCGGTCGATCGTTTTGTAAAGGGCCGGCGAATAGCTCGGAGGCAACGGCCGGGTCTCGCGCGACCCGATTCCACGTGCTCGATTTCCAGAAAGCCAGCCTGTTTCTTTCTTTCTCGTTTCGACGCAGCCGCATCTTACCGGCGGATACAAATTATCCCAGAATCTTTTTCTAAGAGAACAGAGAGACTCCTCGGCCGATTCGCGACAACTTTTCCCTTTGCAAAAATTCTCTGCGTGGCTTCGTTCGCGAGTTATCGGCGAGTAAACGCGGACCAATCGGAGAGCGCGAACGGCGGACGCCCCACCCACGCGAACGCAGCGCCACCTACCTGCCCGCTGTACTCGCGCGTCGATTGGCCCGCGCCGGCAACTCCCCGACGAAGCGGCGGCCGACACTTTTGCTAGGATAACTTCGCTCGGCAATTTTTCTCGACAGATTTCCCGAGGCACTGTTTCCAGCGAAAATTCCGACGGACTGAATCAAGATTTCTCAACTCTGGGTCCAATTGGACCCAAAACGCACGAAGTCCGGCTCGAAGCTAATATCAATATCTAGTGTTTTTAATGAAATTAACAACTATTCTTGCACTGTTTCCGTATCGATACTCGGTGTATTAACCTTAAAATATAATTAACATTAAAATATGAAAAACTGTGAATTAACATTGATACGTAATTAACATATTATAGTCGCTGATAAAACAGGATGGCTTTGAGGAAATCCGTCGGCGGCGTGTTCGGCGACAAGAAAGATTCGGACGAGGGTGGGGAGATCGACATTATGCGACATCGAACGGTGGACCCGTTTTCTCAACGAAATGCAACCTCACGCTCCTATTTTTCTATCTCGGTGAATACATTTGTACATACGCTACATGTACACGTACGAGAATTGTGAATATATATACATATATATATATATAAAATGCTATCACTGTTGATCGGTAGAGAATTTATTGGAACGAGCGTTTCTCGACCATCGGAACGAGCAACGTTCTGCAAACCGCGATACTAACAAGTATCGCCATTCGGTGCTTAATTTTGTCAGAGCGAGGTAGCGACAACGTTTACGAATTCTTTCCCCGACGAAACGTAGATCGACGAAGCCTAAATAGAACATAAAACCGTGCAACTAATTGCGAACTAAATGTGAAACTAAATTAATCATTTTCAAATGGAGATTTAAAATTCTTGACGATCAATTCGCTTTGTTTTATTTAATTTCAGCGAAGAAAAGCGATGAGAGAAAGCTCGGAAAAGTTTAAAAAAAAAGAAAAGAAATCGATACCGCATCGCACGTAAAATGTATTAGATGTTAATTAACGAAAGTTATACCTCGATCAACGAGAACTGGTAAAAAAAAGTAAACGGCTGGGCGACGCGTGATCGAGCCAGGGCCGTATCACAGTTTCCGGGTCACTCTATAGTCCGTGCGCGACAAGAAGCGCGCCGCTGTGTCCACATTCCCCCTCCAACTGGCTGCCCCACCGCTGTCGCTCGCTCGCGGCGGCGGGGCGGCTAGTAGGAAGGGGGAGCGCGAAGGCGTCTCCTTGTCGCGCGAGGACTATAGACGACTATTCTGCATACAACGGCCTTCGATTAGGCTCCCTTAAAATTAGGGTCCTCTTAAAAAAAGCATCGACCACGTTAGCGTCCTGTTTACATAGCCGCGCCATAGTTCACGTTGAACGCAGTATAAAATCTATGCACGCATACACCTATAAAATCGATATCGATGAAGAGAACGCTTTTAAGAACGAATTACATTGTTATCCGATACGCTACGTTAGAAGTTTACAAGAGTTTAGTCGAGTCGAAAGCGATCCGTTTCTCGGCGACAGCATCTCCTTTCCTCTCCACGATTGTACCTCGCGATAACGGATCTTCTTCTTGTTTTCTTTTTTCGTACAATTTAATGCACTTCGACTAGTCGTACGAGGCACACAGAGCTACTTTACCGCATAATTATCGTCGTTACGCTTGCACTTAAAATTTTAATTGTAATTGTAATTGTAAAAATGAAAAGAATACTGCGTCGATGCGATTCGCTTCTGTTAAGAGAGACGATCGCTTCTCGTAGCTGTAAGCGTTATTTACACTGGACTTTGTTCGCTGAGCCAACAAGCACAGGCTTCGAATTCGTTTATTCGTGAAAATACGCGACAACTGTTTTCGATTTTCTCTCGTGAATAATACTACTACTACTACTACTATTAATAATAATATCGCTGGTGACAAGAGCACCGAGATAATTTTAATAGGCCACAAATAGGCTGCGGATTTTATGCGTTTTCGACGAAACTGATTTGAAAAAGATTGGCACAGTTTTTCGACTATATTTTAACTATATTCTATAACGCGACTTGTTTGAAACAATTAAACGAAACATTTTTATCCGATTTATGTACTCGTTACCGTACAATCGATTTGGATAATTTTTCTTTCGCTGAAAAATCCGCGGTCCGATTATATCAACGAACCAAGAACTTTCCAATGCATATCGTGCTTAATAGAATCCCGGCAGTCTTTGATCAACGACCATCGCAATCAGCAGAACCGACCAAACAGTGCCTCTACGCTTTCTACAATTGTAAAACACACACATACACAGAGAAATCGTTCCTGTACTTTGATTCTGTAACCGATTGTTTTGGTTTACAATACATGTACATTTTGTCTGAATCTGAATGAATTATTTCATCCCTTTACAGCACACCCTCCATTCAGAAACGCATCACACGCGCGCACACATATTTGCTATTCGCTTAGCACAGAGACGTAAAAAAATATAAAATTACAATTTACAGAGTGCATCGCTTTTAATTCGGTTAATTTAACTCTTTGGGCTACGGTGGGATTAAAAGTGTCCTATATTTCTGATGCATGGTGATGCATGGTGGGATATTATTGGATACAGTTTGAAATATTGCAATAGCTGTATGCTATTTTCATGTTCATGGACCCATGTGGCACGGTGTGGGACTATTTTAGTCCCACTATACAACAGAATAAATTGAAATTAATTACTATTATTGTTTTATGTTTCTGTATTATGTGATTGCTTTGTTAAATGAGATATAGCAATTTAAAATATACCAAATATATCAACCAATGATAATAATAATTAATAGATAATAAATATACCAATATCCATTCTACAATAATAAATTGAATTGAATTATTCTTATTATTCTTTTATGTTTCTATATTATGTGATTCCTTTGTTAAAAGAAATAGACCAATTTAAAATGTACCAAATATACAAACCAAAGTTAACAATTAATATAGATAATAAATAACAGATATACCAAAAAAGCAATACACCATTACCCACCCTACAACAAAACAAATTGAATTGAACTATTACTATTCCTTTATGTTTCCATATTATCCGACTCCTTTACTAACAAAAATACACCAATTTTCTCTAATATAAAACGCAATAAAATTTCTGTTTAATATGGATCCACTCTATTTCCTGCAATCCCAAAGAGTTAACCGTCCAATCTCGAGGCTCAACTCGACGCAGGAGCTTCATAATCCAGCAGCAAAGCGGCCAGGTCCTTGTCAGGTATCTTAGCCAGCTGGGTCCTCATTCTCGCGGCGATCCTGCTCGACCTTTTCAAAAACATCGCTGAATGATGCGTAGCAATAGCATGAGGTATCGGACACCACTCTTTCCTCACGGTTCCCCGGATCAGCGCTGTAATATAGCTCTCGATCAGCGACACGTCCTCTTCAACAGGATACAAGTACTCCGTCAAAGGAACGACCAGCTGCTCCGGAAGCAGCCTGATATAGCGCAGTGAGCCGGCGTGCTCTGACCACAGCAACCTCCTATAATGAACGTCGTGCCTCTGAGCGATGGGTACCATCAGCGTCATCGAAAACCCGTAGTCCCCGTATGAGGTCGAGCAGAAGTGCTCGCACATGGCTGTGAACAGATCGGTGAACGAGTTAAGCCCTGGCAGCTGCGTCGAAAAGTCAAGACTCTTATGATGACTCCTCAGCAAATTAGCAACGGCTCTGCTCAGCAAAGCGGACACGTCGTCGCTGAGGTACACCGTGTCGCACAGGTACACCAGGACCAGCCTGCTGAACCTCAAGCTCTGGGAGAGCTGGTCGACCAGGTCCGGTAGCGCCAGTTCCAAGCTCAGCACCGCGGAGACAGCGGCCGCGTCGACCTCGTCGCAGTTCCCGTTGTCCCTGCATTTCGCGTAGACCTGCACCACCGGCAGATAGATCCAATCCTTAGGCATCGCAGCCTGGTCCCATTGCCCATTCACTGGCACGTAGCTCTCGTAGACAGCCGCCACGTCGCGAGAGAAGTTCAGCCGGATGCTGCGCAAGCCGGAGTCCAGGTCCAGCCTCTCCAGCTGGTCGGCAACGGCGCCCAAGCTCAGCCTATCCTCCGACAGGGCGTTCCTCAGCATGGTCTTGACATCACCAGAACAGTCAGCCGGCAAAGCTGACACCAGTTTCACGGCGACCTTCCAAACTCTTTGCACCGTCTCGTTATCCAGTCTGCCTTTGACCAGGGCTGCTCCGTTGACCAGATTGGCGAGGAAGGACAGCTCCGACCTTGTGTACCAGGATCTCTCCAAGCTCCAGTCGGTTGCCACCAGCTGCCTCAAATATTTATCGACCTGGGGATCGCTTAGCACCCCGTAGATCTCTTCTGTATAGGCTTGATTAACAAATAAATTGAAAGTGGTCGCGAGGAAGGGGAAGCAGGACGGCGTGGAGACGACTGGCTGCAACTGGCCGTCCTCTGCTAGCACCCCTAGGTGAAGCATGCAGGAAGGGTCTCTCTCCTTGGCTGGATCATGGCCGCAGAGTAGATTCGACGTGGAGCAGAGTTTCTGGAATAGCTGCGTCCTTGACGGGCCGAGACGAACGCAGGCGACGTCGTCGGCCGCCAGGATGGCCTCCGCGACCAGCTTCGTCTTGGTCAGCGTCAGATTGCCGGAGTGCCGCAGCTGCGAGACCCACTTCCTCAGCAAGACCGACACGTTCGTTCTGAGAGGCGGCAGGCAGCCGGCGACGGCTAACAGAGCCGCGGCGTACTCGCAGGACAGCTCCGAGGCGCTCTGGATGTCGTGGTTGCACAGCAGGAGCTGCAACTGAGAGACCAGGATCAGCTGGGCCCCGGTCAGGGTGTCCGTCGCCTCGCCGTGGAGCAGCAATAATCTCCAGAAGCGCAAGCTCTCGACGCCGAGGGCGACGGTACTCTTGCCTGCGTCGCAGCTGATGTATGACAAGATGCGTTGCATGATCTGCAGTCTGTTCAGCTTCAGCGCGACGGGTTTGCCGCCGTAGCATAGCAGGACCCGGCAGAACCTGATGGCGGCGGTCACTGGGACACCATAGACATTGTCTATTGCGTCGAGCGTCGCTAACGAGTTCGGCGAGAGCGGCAGGAAATGCTCAACAATTGTGTCCAATAGGTGCGGAGCGGATGCGACGTTCAGTGCGGTGATGGGCGAGTGCCTCGCGAGCCTCGTGAGGACCTCGAAGGCGCAGGTTACACCGACTGGCGGCGGCCGGATTTCGCTTAGGATGTACCTGATGCGTGAGAGTATGTCGGTCCTTAGTAAACTAGCCACAGCGTCCAGCTGGGCCAGTTCGTGGTCCTTCAGGTCACTGGTGTCCGGTTGATCGGTGCCAGGTGGCTTTAGAACCGGTTCTTTGTAGTTGTCGAAGCCGTACAGCCTGTCCAGGCAGACCTCGTCCACCTCGCTGTATAACAAGGCTCGTAGGGCTTGCAGAGTCGCTGTGATCACGGCCACAGGTGTGTCGTCCAACGAGAATCTTAGCATGATCATTAGATTGACTTGGTTCAGTGCGGTCATTGGTCCTGGCTGCAGTGCTTTGTCGTACCAACCCTTGCGGGTCTTCTCGATTATGTTCGCTAATGTCGTGAGGGCGGTGCACCGCTGCTGCTGCGAGGAGGATCTGCTCAGTTGTAACAGTTCTTGTAAAGAATAACCGGGCCGGTCGGGCTCTTCACCGTGGTGGTGGAGACCCTTCTCAGGCGACACGTTTTCGTCTGTGTAGGGCAGCAGGATTCCTAAGAAGATATGTGAACGATTGTGTAGATTTTTTGTTTGTATGACATCGTTCTAAAGAAGTATGAGACTTACCGTTGAAGTCGAAACGAGCAGTATATGTAGCAGGCTCTTCTTGGCTCTGCGCTGGAACATCTTCCATCCATTTCAATTTCACAGGCTCGAGGGAATCCATGTGAACCCAACCCTTCTTTTTAGCCTGCTCCAGTAATTCTGCGGATGGTTTTGGTATGCTGTTGGGCTCATCTACTTGCATACCATTATTTTTGGAGGAACTGTTGTCTTTATTAGACTCTTCTACAGGGTGCTCGATGTCCATCTTGTCGATGCTTTTGGGTGGATCATTTTGCATGATGGATGATTCTTTGGAAGTTAATTTTTCTTCGTCCATATGGATCACGGTTGACTCTTTATCAAGGTTACCACGTTTCTCTGCTTTATCTTTGCTTGCTCTCTGCTTTTTATTCTTTCTGTTTCTCAAAAATTCGATCAATTCTGGATTAAGAGTCATTTCAAGCTTCTTCTTTTCTCTCAGTATATCTTCCTCCGTCATGTGACTTAGTTTTTCCAAATTCTCTTCGTGTATTTCATTCGACCATGAACCTTCTATAACAGTGCTACCTTCATCGGTAGACAGAGATACGACGTTTTCAGGTTCATCTACTTTATTTGCTGCTTGTTCTCTTGAAACTTGTTGTAGAAATAAACTCTGCTTGCCTTTGCTCTCCTGACAAATGTAATATGCAATTAGAATACACGAATTAAGACCTGCACATTCATTCAATAATAAAATAATTCAAATAACATACCACGGATTCGGCAATAAATACTTCTGGAAAGCCTTTGCTCGAACCATACAAAGATTCCTTTTTATTAAAGTTATAGTTTGATGAATTAAATTTCTTTTCAACAATGTTTCCCAATAGTATACTAGATGGTGCAATCGGTACATTTTGCACAGACTCCTGTCGTGTATTCAAATTTTCCTGAATTCTTTCGTTAATTACAGGATTTAAAACTTCACCATCGCTTTGCGAAGTGGAAACTCTGTCCTGTGTTCTAAGCTTTTTCAGCTGAGAATATCTTGATCTGACTTTGCTGGTATCTGGTTGGCTCTTAGACGGTTCCGAAGGGCCGAATGTATTTGTAGAACCTCGTAGATTAATTACTTTCGCAGATGGTTGCTGTTTGTTGCTCAAAAACTCTTCTTGCATACGAAACAGTTCCTCTTCATTGTCAGTTGGCTTTGGCCGTTTTAAAAGTGGAGCACCGTCCATAGCTTTTAATTATGATTAAAAGTATGCGTAAAGAATTTCTTTTTTATTAGAGATTTCTTACTTAATATTAAATGCTAGTAGGTTACAGACAGTATACGCACTGTTAATATCTCCAGATGATTATGTATCTCTGTGTATATTATTCTTATCTGGACAGCATGGGCCAAACTGTGGCTTGAAGTCACTGTCAAATTATTTTCCAAATGTCTAAGTTAATATTCTGATCAATAATTTCTGGATATAACCATATGACATTCTGTACTCTCAGCTAATGTGTTGAACACAGTACCTCTTACTCCATCTAGATTCAAGATTGAACTTGTCCCTAACATGTATGTTCGTAAGAGGAACTTCTATGTTGTCTACATAGTCACAGCTGTATCTGCAGGATGTTGCAAGCAGCTGCAAGCAACAGAACTGCAGAAGTGCTTTGTAACAATAATAGTTCTATCTGTAAAATTTTATAGTATATTTTACTGTAATAAAAAACTATTGATAGTTGCAGATTAGTTCATATAACATTAATAAAGTGCATTGTTGAAAGAAGATACACTGTCTTCAAGAAGTATAGTTATTATGAAATTATTTTGTTCTACTCCAATTTACCATTCAATAATTCAACTAAAGTTTTATAATTATAATTTTACACAATGGTAGAGGAAGTAGTTAACTCCACAAATAAACCAAAGGTATGTTAAACAAAAAAATTCCTTCAGTTCTCATTATCTTTATTAACCACTCCATTAATGAATATTGTAGACTAAAACTACTAGACCACGTCCAGTTTATTTGTGGAATGTGTTGGATGTACAAAAATGGTTGAGAAGGCATTGCAGTGATTATTACCAGTTGTATCATGAGAAGTTTTTGTATGTAGGTATATTTTACAGAGATATATTGCACAGGTTTACATATGTATTACAATTGCTGTAATTATTATATCAATGTTACATGTGCTTCTTTAAGCATGACATTACAGGAAGAGTGCTGCTGAGAATCAATGAAAATATTTTACTGAGACTAGGAATCGATAATGAACAGCACAGGATGGATATCTGGAGAGAAATCATGAAATTGCATCTGAAAACGGACATGTTGGAAATTAAAGACATTGAACGGCGTAATAATTTAAATTTTGATTAATATAAATTAATCAGATGTTAAGCCAATAATGTAATTATGGCAGAGCTTTATTTTTATGCTAAGATGTAACAAGGAGAGAGCTGTATGTACTTCTGTATATTTCTGATATTTTGCATATAATTTCATTTTATTTGAAAACAGTATTTGCCAGAAGAATATTTGGTGATTTTTAGTGGAAATAGAAAATGGGGACAAAAATTGGGGAAAATGGCTCGCCGCTGTAACGTCATTTTCTACGTTATCCATGGTATATGCCATTCGAAGTAACTCACGAAGGCAGATTTTACAACTGTTTAAACAATTGGCCATTATGCATTTCGCCGGGTGTACAATTCGTCGGTCCTACACATTTACAACGAACTGCGTTCGACCATGCATATTTTTACTGTGATTATACTAGCATAATGAATCCCCATAGATCGCTTAGGAATTATACAAGTATATATTTTTATAAATATAAGAAGAAGACGGTTCGTGTAGGTTTTGACTGTCTTTATTTTATCACATTTTCACGGAAAATGTTTTGCATTTTGAATAAAACTTTTGTGTCACTATAATAAATACAAATTATATATATACAAATATAATTGTTATACACATTCTCTGTTTCTTCCCTTAAATCAGTACGATGTATTTTATGTGCATACGTTGCAATCTTAAAAGTTCTGTATATTTTGCTTTATAAACAATTTTTAGGATGACAATAAAAAAAAACATTTCATTTATATTAAATCTCAGCAGATCTATTCGCTAGAAACATTTTATTATATCAGTAAAAGAAATTCTACGAACTGCAAAATAATATTGCCTTAGTGTCTATTAATTTTTACAGACGAGGAAATAAATTCATGCTGCTGTGCTATGGAAATTTGCTATACCCTGTTCATCGTAACTTTACACGTAGCCGCAAGCATATCAGTGATATAATTAAGAACACCTACAGAAATTCGTCTTTCGTCGCATAAACGTTTACAGGCCGGTTAACTATTATTTAAATGTTCTATATATCACGTCGTTCCACGAATTAACGCAAGAAGTCCCTAACATTGACACGAAACGAAGTTGTCGATATTAAAACGTTTTATTGCAGACACTAACAACGCCTAGAAACATTTTCTTTACGATATTATCGATAACATTAATCGTAATATTTATTAAGTAACAACAATGCCGCTACCACTACCGATATTTCGAAATTTATCTTCGTTTCAAGGTTATAGCTGATTACAGTAGTGTATGTACACATTCCAATTTCATGCGAAACAAAAAGAACTCATTGTCTAAGGACAGGGTTCGGAATTAACCGGCGCGCAACACGAGGCTCGCGAGGGCCACGCCTCCTGGAGGCGGTCACGGGGAGGACGACGCGCGATGGGAGTCAAGGCACGATCTTAATGTTGCGCGCTGGTTAATTCCGAGTCCCGGCGCGTATGACGTAATACTTGAGGTACGTGAAATTCTAATTAATCTGTGTCACAGCCTCATATACATCTAGAGTTTGCTTCCATTTATTGTACAACGAATATGCGAGGCAATAGAACAGAAATGTGCTACGGAAAATATGCAACATGTACAGTATGTCGCAAAATTATGTTACCTCCGTGAACTGAGGGATTCCTGAGGTCTACGAAGTAACTTTTTTCTTAACGAAAATGTTCTACGAGGCTTCGTTCACAAGTTATCGGCATAAAACGCGGACCAATCGGAGAGCGAGGACGGAGCGAAGACGAGCGGGGGCGTGGTGTCGGTAGTTTTTCGTTAATAACTCGTTAACGAAGCCTCGTAGAACATTTTCGCTAAGGAAAAAGTTGCTTCAAATGACCTTAGGAATCCCTCGGTTCCCATAATTTCGGGACATCCTATAGAGACCTCGCAATTCATTAAAATATCATTCGAGCTTCGATCGTCGAATACAAAGAGGAACGCGTGCACAATCGTTCGCGGTGATAGTTTACACAACAACTGATCTACAAATGCAAATGTCGGTGTATGTACAAGATCTGGTTATTTATATAAAGATTTCGAGCTTCAGCAACGCTCCATCCGGCGACGATACAACAAGTGGTTATCGATTGCAGCTGGCAAGAGCCTACGCGCTGTGAGATTTTCGACGTTACAAGCATAACTCCTCCGTGTCCGGATCCTGGCCGTGTTTCCGCGACGAGAACACGTACAGTTCCTCGGTTTTGTTAGACGAGATCGAGCATCTGTTCTCGTTGTCGCCATGGAAGTAGTGGCCGATCCCTTTTTTACTGCGTCTGCACGTTTCGTGTTTCTCGATGAACGACTGCGAGGATTCCCTCACCGGTATTCCTTTGCAAAACGACGTGACTGTCGGGTACGTGCCGGAAATCGTTCGCCTCCACTCGTACCTGGCGAACATAAATTATAATATATTATAAGTTGTATTATGAGTTATAATGTGGAACAAGTTATATTATGAGTTATATATTATAAGTTGTAATACAAGTTATAGTATAATGTATACTATATAACAGAAGTTATAGTATAAGTTATAATATAAGTAGCATAAGTTGTACTACAAGTTATAATACAAGTTGTAATATGGTATAAGTTGTACTACAAGTTATAATAAAAGTTATAATGTAGTGTAAATTATATTATGAGTTATATATTATAAGTTGTAGTACAAATTATAATACAAGTTATAATATATCATAAGTTATAACAGAAGTTATAATATGAGTTATAATATATCATAAGTTTTATTATAACTTATAATATATATAACTTATACTATATTATAACTTGTATTATAACTAATACTATATTTTAACTTGTAATTATAACTTGTAGTACAACTTATACTGTATTTTAACTTGCATTATAACTTGTAGTACAACTTATACTGTATTTTAACTTGCATTATAACTTGTAGTACAACTTATACTGTATTTTAACTTGCATTATAACTTGTAGTACAACTTATACTGTATTTTAACTTGCATTATAACTTGTAGTACAACTTATACTGTATTTTAACTTGCATTATAACTTGTAGTACAACTTATACTGTATTTTAACTTGCATTATAACTTGTAGTACAACTTATACTGTATTTTAACTTGCATTATAACTTGTAGTACAACTTATACTGTATTTTAACTTGCATTATAACTTGTAGTACAACTTATACTGTATTTTAACTTGCATTATAACTTGTAGTACAACTTATACTGTATTTTAACTTGCATTATAACTTGTAGTACAACTTATACTGTATTTTAACTTGCATTATAACTTGTAGTACAACTTATACTGTATTTTAACTTGCATTATAACTTGTAGTACAACTTATACTGTATTTTAACTTGCATTATAACTTGTAGTACAACTTATACTGTATTTTAACTTGCATTATAACTTGTAGTACAACTTATACTGTATTTTAACTTGCATTATAACTTGTAGTACAACTTATACTGTATTTTAACTTGCATTATAACTTGTAGTACAACTTATACTGTATTTTAACTTGCATTATAACTTGTAGTACAACTTATACTGTATTTTAACTTGCATTATAACTTGTAGTACAACTTATACTGTATTTTAACTTGCATTATAACTTGTAGTACAACTTATACTGTATTTTAACTTGCATTATAACTTGTAGTACAACTTATACTGTATTTTAACTTGCATTATAACTTGTAGTACAACTTATATTATATTATAACTTATATTATAACTTAGAATATAACTTATACTATATTATAACTTGTATTATAACTAATACTATATTTTAACTTGTAATTATAACTTGTAGTACAACTCTCTCTCTCTTATGCTATAATACAACTTGCACTGTAACTTAGAATATACTTTTTACTATATTATAACTTACATTATAGTATAAGTTATTACAGAAGTAATAATAGAAGTTACATATAAATTATACAATATAAATTATAACATAATATAAGTATAAGTAAACAACATTTACAATTAATAATCAGTAATAGTATTAGTAATATTATGTACTGATGTATTAGTATTACCACTTATATCTAATTCAGTA